GGTTTTCTTCAGCTGAAATACCCCAAAAGACACCTGGGTTCAGATCATTTCCAGTGCCTTCCACAGCTGCTCACTGAAATACTTATATTCTATTATTGTGCTATTACATATATTTCTTCCTCATCTGAGTGTTGTTCATTATGATTGCAGCCCCCACAGGTCAGTTAGAAGATGTTGGTGCAGACTGACTCTATCTTAAGTTATAGCAAAGCACTCTCAGTTATACACTGATGCCACCATTAACTGCCATGAACAGGAAAGAACAAATCACAGATGCTTTCTGTGTTTCCATGATGGATTGTAGCTGTTCTTAAAATTGAGAAGAGATTAAATCTATTCAAAAAGAAAGGCTGGGTGTCTCGTAGAGGGCGCAGGCAGTGAGTTAATCTTCTGAATATGGAAAATGGACATGATTAAAGTTTTCATATTATAGTCTTAACAAAGAGGACCTTCTATTATAGTCATATGCTACTGACTTTTTTAAGAGCAGATTCTGTGAAGAAACACTTGGCTATGCTGTGAAAAAAGTGGCTGGATTGGTGCGATGTGAGCAGCAGATGGAGAAAGATGTGTTACAGGATGTTTCAGACCACAAACTGCTCAACAGCAAAACGTGTTGAGTGATTATTCTAGGTAAACAAACAGTAACATTTGAATGCAAACAAGATAAGCTGCAAATGTAAACTGTCCAAACACAAGGTTTGTGACTGCTGTTATCTAGTTCAAAATGTTTGTGGGAGATTGTACGTGTGAGTGTTTGTGTGCGGAAATGCGGGCATGCTGTGTGAAGGGTTAGCTCTGTTTTTGTTTAAAGTGCTTTCCCCCAGAGAAAGTGGAGCCAGGTTTAAGTAGAGTGTGACAGGTAGCAGGTGGTGTAATGGGGCGGCGTTGCCTTGGTTTTTGGTGAGCAAACGCTCTGCTAATTGGGGCTTATCAGGTGTTTCTGGGAAAAACACCTGAGGCTTTTGTGGGGCCGTCAGTCCCACAATGGAGAGGGGAACTCTGTCCCTTGTTAGGACTAGGAGAAAACAAGTGTCTGCTTTCAGCAGCAACAGTCACTGCCTTTTGAATCATTTTTGGATGTTCAAAAATCTAGGCTGTTCAGCTGTTTGAAACTGTGGTTCCATGGTCGATAGAAGTTTGTTGTCATCTGTATGTGTGGTTGAGAAAAATAGGCTTAGCTGTGAAAATCTTAAATCCTCTTTGGTGGCATGTGTGAACATGCACCACAATAGCATCTCTGCATCCTTTCTCAAATGATGAGAAACAGGTACAGTTTGGGCTCACAAGCTTTCTGATAGGAAATCCTGTCTCAGGTGTCTGTCTCTTGTTTGAATTCACGTTGGCGTTCGTTTCTATCCTCCTGTCTGCAGTTGTTTCTTTTATCCCCTTTTATAACCCTGTCTGAGCCTCGCTGTAGAATACAGACAGGATACCATGTTATTTGTCTTCCGGTAAACTCTCTACACCTTCACCTACATCACAGAACATTAAACATTTTCCATCAGCTCTGTTCTCATGAAAAAGGTTTACAATTAAAAAGTAAATGTATTTCCAACATCTATAAATGTATTTTTATGCATTACTTTGGATGCGAGTGAATTTACAAGTTTACTTAGGTCTGATGATTTATGCAACCTAAATTTACATAAATGATAGTAGTTACATTGAAATATAACTTTAATGCATATGTAAGTCGCTTTGGATAAAAGTGTCAGATAAATAAAAATAAAAAAATTTTAAAAGTGCATTAATTGCAAATGTGTATACAGTTGAATCAATTGGAAGTGTATGCGGGTAATGGGTACAGAGCATCTGATGCACAAGAAATATTTAAATGCCACTTTTGAGGAGTGGTCTAACAATGATTTTCTGCTTATGGTTGCATAGTAAAAAATCAATATTAAAAAAAAGATTTTTACATATTATTCAAACCAAATTATTAATCAGTTCATAAAAATAGGTATACATGTAGTATTCTATGCACACTTTAAAAGTAATATTAATATTTTAAATACTTTTCTTTAGTATTTTTTTTCAGGTTTGTGCTGCTGTTGCTATCCCATTGTGTTACTTAGGAAAGGAGTCATTAGTCGACGTGGCATGACAACATTTGTGTTTTGACTATTGTGGAAGTATGACAGTGAAGTCTGGGTCGAACACAGGGCACCACTTTGATGACTGGTGGTGGTGGTGGTGGGGGGGGGGGTTACACAGCAGGAAGTCTGCACTCTTGTTGACCAATCACAGTGGAAATATCTGAATGGCACACGGCAGGTAGGGGCAGGGCTGAGACGAAACCGTGCTGTAGGCAAACCAGCCCGTCAGGTTTCCCACACAAAGTGAAATCTCTTGATGACGGACGCCAAGGACAGGAGGTGACAGGAGGACCTTGGGCTGTCGGCACAACGCATGAGAGAACTGTACTGGGGAAACCAGGCAGAGCTGAGAGAAAAACCAAGATGAAGCAAATAGAGCTGCAACGATTAGTCGATTTAATTTCAACTGTTAAACAGCTATTGCCCATTTGACATGACATGCTGTAAAGCACCTGTACTGAAATGTGCTTTACAAATAAAGTTATTAGTATTATTATTATTTTAATTATCGATTAATCATTTTGAGTCATTTTTTTGATAATAAATGTCCAAATTCTCTTATTCTAGCCTCTCAAATGTAAATATTTGTTCGATTTTAGTCCTTTATAACAGTAAACTGAATATATTTGAGTTGTGGCAAAACAAGGCATTTGAGGACGTTTTCTTGGCTTTGGGAAACAGCGATCAACATTTTTCACAGTTTTCCGACATTTTATGGACCAAATTACTAATCGATCGATTAATGGAGAAAATGAGCAACAGATTAATCGATGATTGCAGCCCTAGAAGCAAAGAAAAAACAGTGCATACTGTGGAGATACACAGCTGGTCTATATCGGCTGACTTTTCCATTAATAAAATCATTATAGGCTGCAATAATGTAACCCAATGTAATTACGCTTGTGCAGCTGGCACACGTGCTCAGCCTCAAGCCTGTGTCTATTCATGGAGCTAAAAGGGAGGAGGGGTTGTCCTGATACAGCGGTTCTGATAACAGAGTCTCAACTCTAAATACATTTCTGCTATGATACAGTAGCAGCAGCCAAATCGAAATGCTCTGTCCCATTAGTAAGGCTGAAGGGCAATGCTCTCCACACTGAAGGAGACTATTGTTCTTTGTTCCTGCTTGAGGAAGCAGTGTGCTGGTTATTACTGGCAACCAATAGCGTCTGTGTGGCGAACCTGCTTGTACGCAGGTCATTGCTTTGCTACAGTAGTCTGTCTGTCACAATTAGCTGTGTGTGTGTGTGTGTGTGTGTGTGTGTGTGTGATGATAAATTTCTGTGCATGTGCAGAAGGCAAAGTTCTGTGCCGTGCAACACGTCACATAGATGAATTCGTGTATATGGACGTCAGAGTGATGTTTCAGATTCCTGCCTTTGTGTCCAGATGCCGTTCCACATGCATGCTCTCTGTCTGCTTTGTCTCGCTCCATCTTTCAGTCTTTCGGGTTTTGAGTCAAAGCCCAGCTGAACAGAGAAGAGGTTCAGCCCTGGGTTTCCAGTTAAGAGCTGCTGCAGGCAGTTGCGAAAGACAAGCAGTGGAGGCATCAGTGTTCAATTACCTCTGGAGCTGGCCTGCAGAGGGATCCTGTTACTTTTGACAGGTTTAAGACACTAGCTCCACCTCTAATTAGATTTCCAGAACCTCCAACTTGCCTTTGTTTGCAGCCCTGTAGCTGCAGCCCATTATATTTCATTTTCATTTGTTTATAGGTTTCTCCTTGAGATGTTTTTTTTTTCCTGAGTAATTTGAATCCACATTAGTGGTTCACTGGGTTTTTGTTAATTGGTTTGGTTGCGTTATTATAAAACTTTCGCCTTATTGGTTGACGATTTTCTGCATTAGTTTCACACTAGTAAGCTTGTTATGTATTCTGTCATTGGATACATCAGACAATAACAAGATATGCTCATAAAGCACCATAAGTCATAATGTCGTTGTGTGCTTGTAGTGATTATTATGACCAGGCCTCAATATCAACACACAATGTGGAAACTTTTTAATGTATTGAATACTTAATTGCAATATGTCATATGCAAATTGTTTATGATTTGCTTTTGATGCCCCACAATCAAGTCTTAACAAAGCCTCCCCCAGTTTCTCTATGGTATCTATTAGTGTTTGTGAACTGGTTGGATGGGGCGGGTCTGGATGAAGAAGTCTAGCTGATCCACAAGCTATGCTGTGGATCTAAGTTTCAAGAGGTAGCTCAGTGGAGTGGAATGGTTCGCTCCCCACAACAATGCTGTGTGTTGACAGCCGAGTGCTCGGACAGGGTTAGTGGAATGTCCCCTTCAGACTGCGAAGCACAGGCCCTTTGTTAAAGCACCAGCTCTCACAGAGTACTTATTCTTCTACCTGAAGATGATCTCTGCCTACACAGGTTCACCATCCAGAAAAGGGAAAATCTTTTTTTATGATGACATACAACTCCCTCGTGAGCCACTGTATTATTACTTTCCATTCCTTTTAAAGTGCAACAAGCTGCAACTGTTGCCTGTGTGCGTGTTCAGCTTGGGATGTAACAAGTGGACATAGTGAGTGCAATGTGTTCACTCACTATATGGCTCATCATTTCTGTCTTGTGATTGTTTGTCTTGTAAATGTAAATGCCAACTCTTCATTTTGAATTTGTACATCTGTTAGATGATGACATTTGATAAGAGTTTGAAGCTCTGGTCTATTGCTGTTCCTCCCCTTTTTGACTTTTACAACAGAGTCTTCAAGTGAATTTAAGAAAATGTTTTGTTTCCACCGTACAGACCAAGAAACAGGTTGTTGCCTGAATGCTTTGTTTTGCTAAGGGACTCTGGCGTGTGCATTGCTTTGCTAAAAATATGGTTTGGTTTGTCACAGTGTATTTCAGAAGTGCAACAAAATTTCCCTTGTCAGTAACCCAGACCATGTCTTCCTTTCTCTGTCTGCAGGTGACCCACATAGAGCTCCATAGACGTGACTGTGGGACAGGCAGTCTCCCTCTCAGCCTGGATCCTCTTCCTGTCCTTTCCATAGAGGCAATGATTATCAGCTGAGACATTCTTCACAACTCCACTGTGTGAATGAATCTTTGCCGTAAAGCCGCTGTGCTCTGCCACCCTGTCACCATGAAGAGCAAGTATTCCCAGTACTACAATCGGAGTCTGATCCACTCCTACTATGCTGTCGCTAAGAACATGACCCCCCAGGAGATGGCTAAACATATTGAGAGTAAAAAACAGCTCACTTCCCTCAACATCGCCATCGTGGTCCTCTGCACCATCATCATCCTGGAGAATCTGCTGGTCCTAATTGCTGTCTGCCGCAACAAGAAGTTCCACTCTGCTATGTTTTTCTTCATCGGCAACCTGGCATTCTCTGACCTGCTGGCAGGCTCGGCCTATATAGCCAACATTTTTCTCTCAGGGTCAAGGACCTTTGAGCTGGTGCCTGTGCAGTGGTTCATCCGAGAGGGCACTGCTTTTATCGCTCTGGCGGCTTCAGTTTTCAGCTTGCTGGCGATAGCTATAGAGCGCTATAGTGCTATCACCAAGGTCAAGGTGTACGGCTCCACCAAAACATGCCGCATGTTCCTTTTGATAGGAGCTTGTTGGGTCACCTCCATCCTGCTCGGTGGACTTCCCATCATCGGCTGGAACTGCATCAATAACCTTCCTGAATGCTCAGCCGTTTTGCCGCTCTACTCAAAGATATACATCCTCTTTGTTGTCACCATTTTCAGCGTCATACTACTCTCTATTGTCATCCTCTATGTGAGGATTTATTTGATTGTACGCTCCAGCCACCAGGAGGCGACCAACTTACCGGCCTATGCCCTTTTGAAAACAGTCACCATTGTTCTGGGGGTCTTCATCATGTGCTGGCTGCCTGCTTTTACTATCCTCATCCTAGATTCATCCTGCGGGATACAATTCTGCCCTATTCTCTCCAAAGCAGACATCTTTTTTGGCTTTGCCACTCTGAACTCGGCGCTTAACCCAGTGATCTACACGCTGCGCAGCAAGGACATGAGAAGAGAGTTTCTGCGTGTGTTGTGCTGCTGGGGGGTGCTACAAAGCGGACGACCCTCAGACCGTTGTCTTGTCCCTCTAAAGAGTTCCAGCTCTCTGGAACACTGCACCAACAAACATGAACACCAGACCACACCCATCATGCAAAATTGTACCACCTGTGTCTGATTTGGTGCACACACACCAGAGTGCGTTTGAGTATGCGTGCATGTATGTGAGTGTGAGCGAGAGAAAGCACGTGTAATGTGTGATCAAGTCGAGAGGCTGTGATGAGACGGAGAGATGTTTAAAAAAAAAGAAGCAAGCATAGCCTGGACTGTTGAGACGCCTTCTAAAATGCATAACACAATCAAAATTGTGTGATTTCACAATCAACATTCTATCAATTCACTCATGCAGCAGGAGTGAAAACACAATGTTACAAGAGGGAAACAATTTCGTAGGTGAGAACTTTTAAAAATGTGAAAAAAGCTTTTTCATGGGTACTTTCATTAATTAGTATGGAGATGCAAACCATTTTCATGTATATGCCTGTCATATTGTTTTTGTTTTTAAAACATGTAAACATGTATTAAAAGCCAAAAATAGAAACATAACTTGCATGATATAGTTATGGTGAGGCCTGCATCAGTGCAAAGCTTGCAAAGGTGCACTTTTGATTACTTCAGAGATTGTTGTCCTTTATGAGGATAAACCACATTACTCTCTTTTACTGATGTATGTATACATTAGGCCTACAGATTCATCACTCATTCTTTACAGAGCTGGAGGCGTGGAGTGATCAACTTCACTCAGCACTGCACTCCACAGAAGCCAAATTACCACGAGTGCTCCATCAACAAAACCAGGGCTATATTTTCCCTATATAACTTTGCTTAAACCACTTGATTAACTACAACAAAATTACATAATCTGCATACATTTAATGCATGAAATTCTAACTTATTTGTAAGCGCTGATGTGTATGATATATTCCAGCTGCAGCTTGAATCACTAACACCCCTTCCCTCATTTGTCCACATAATCTGTCCCTCTTGCTTTTACTGTTGTTTTCTGTATCTTATATCAGTTTCTGTTGAGGAAGGCCTAATCAGAAAGCACATTTTCTGAAGTGGGGTGGCACTGATGAATAATACTCAATGACAGCTGTTCAGCAGCTTTGACTAAAGGGACTGATGCCCTGACAGTGTTGTAGCAAAATAGCAGCAATGTGCTGTCTCTGTTTGTGCCTTCCTCTTGGGGAATTAGGCTGAATGTATGTATGAAGTGTTTGGGGCAGGCGCTCCATTGTTGACAGTATTATTGATTATCATTTAAATTTACCAAGTCATTGACGAGCAGAGAGTTGGATGAACAAGTTAGGTCACTCTCACTGTGAAGTCTTAAATAGCACAATGAACAAGAATTTGTAGTGAACATCATGGTTTAATTAGCTAGCCATATGCCTTGTACAACTAAAGATGTAAACAAGTCTCAGCTTTCCAAAGACCCCTTGCAAAATAGGAGAAGATCCGGTTTGAAGCGGAAAAGAGGGGATCTGCCCTCCTGGGAGGTCAGCTTCAACCTCATTTTCTGACATCCTACAACACGCAACTTCCTTCAGCCATAGGAAGTCTTGTTTTTTTAATTGTCCGGTTCCTGTTGTTCAGGGTTAGACTAACCTTATTCCTGTACACACATCTAAAAGTCTTTTCTCCGTCAGTGTTTTAATATAGAGTTTTATATTTAGATGACCAAGTAGAAATGGTGAAAAGCACTTTGGCAGCTTCAGTGATGTTTGCTTTCCCCCAGTTTTTTCAGATGGAGATATGTTTTAATCTGTGTACCTATCACTTCATTGTATTGCCTGATTTAAAAAAAAAAAGATAAATACATGAATAACTATGTATGTTTGTAAGTATGTATGTATGTATGTATCTTTGTACAGTATGTATGATTTGTGTTATATGAAATGTCTCGTGTGCAATAGCCTTTTGTGTCCAGTAGCACGCTGCCTGTGTTAAATCGGTACAATCTGAAACACTAATGTAGGTACATAAACATTTTGTTAATTCCCTTTTTATAAAATAAATGAAATACTGAAAGAATGCCATTTTTGTGTTCAAGGTTATTTTTGAGCTGTAAACAAATGTAATTCCAGCTGTAGCTTATGTGCAGGTCATAAGATGCCTTCCTATAGTGCTCACATCTGAAGAGTATGTGAGAAGCAGCATTTAACCAAAACATGCTCCGACAAGGTCAGAAAAATACTAGCTTCAACATGAAAGCCCAAAATTGTGCATGCAAATGTTGCTCTGCTCGCTTACCTAATAAAATTGTTCAATTGCTTGAAGGCTAAAACATGACAGGCCTACAATGGAAAGCCGGGCAGAGGGCAGGGAGGATGAAAAGGGGTGTGGTGAAGAAGAATGTGTATTTGAAAGATAGTTTGTCTGAGAGAAACATAAAGAAAAGTCCCCCGAGAGGTTTTTGGGTAAGGGGGAGACATGGGGTGAAGGGAGAGGCTGACTTGTAGTGGCCTTGGGAGAGTTAGGCCTGTTTCCTGTCAGACGTCCAGGATTCCTGGGTGGGAACATTGGCTGAATCAGCCCCTGGAGGCTGCGCTGCTGGGAAGTCTGCCAAGTCTTTCCAGTGCCCTGCAGGATATGACATCAGACTCAGAAACCTGTAGGTGAAGTTGTATACACAAAAATATTAAAGTCAGCACACAAGACCAATGTTGGTTTGTCCCTGCAAAATAGAACAGTTTGGTATAAGTTACAATTTATACTAAAAACTAAACATGGAACAACACACATGAATCATATTCATAAGATTATGTTGATGTAGTCTACATGCACAACTCACTAAACTGCCTCTTTATGGAAAATTGCTCATGTGAGGAAACATGACAGTAAATGTGGCCAGGTTGGATTTGCATGTACAACATGATAGAGAGAAGATTCACACAATGTGACTCCAATTTTCAGTGACATAGTGCCACCTTGTGTTAAAATAGGCATATAGCTAGCCATGTTTGAAGGATGATTTCTCTATATTCTTTTTACCTGTCTGCCTACCAAATAAAATCATACGTTGCTTAAATTTTATCCATATCTACATATAAAAAGGGAGAGACAAAGCGAGCCCCAGGCATCATCGGAATCATAAACATACATATCAGTAACACAGGAGGGTGAGTCATCTATACACGGATGTACTGGGTCTGAAGTTTAGCCCGTGACTTTGAGACGGAGAGGCCTTTAATGCGAGCGACTATTTGGGGGCGGGCATAAATATTATTAGCAGTTATTTTAATATGTATTAGTGTTTTTGTTGTGTACAGTGATTCAGATTATGCTGAAGATTTTCAAGAAACTTCCGGATGACATGTGCCTCTTCAGTTTGTATAAGCAAGGCAGCTCTGCACTGAACAAGACAAGGTCAGGCAAGCCTGAGTCAGTCAGAGGGCTAAAATACTTAAATATACTCAAAAGTACAATACATTCCCATAAAATACAGCAGTGTGTATGTGTGTGCATAAAAATCAAATCCCTCATCTTTATCTCTGAGTAGGCCTATCCCTGGCTCAGCTTCCCCTGTGCTGGACCCTCTGCTTTTACTGATTGTACAGTTACATATGCACAAGAAGAAAATCAGTAATAAATATGACAATAATCCGTTCTCCAATTCTAAAAACACACTGCCCCTGTACCTGTCACTGTTTTGTCTGGTTCCATTTACCTTCTCCTCCTGCTGCTTCTCTTCCCTGTCCCCCTCCTTCTCCTCCTTCTGCTCCTCCTGTCCCTTCTCTCCCTCCTCATCAACATGACTGGGGTCATTATCACCCTGTCCCTGTGCATCACCTCCACAGCTAATATACATAAATACATACAGAGATTCCTCGGTCAATTTGGCACATTTAGCTGCCTCTTGCCAACATTTTTTCTCCTTAATTCCTATTGTTTCAGTATCACACATTCCTTTTCCCTCTTTCACTCTCTTCTCCACATTTGCCGTCTCTGTTGAACCTAGCACACAACTCAGCGCTGACTTCATCCCCGACGAAACGTTTGGAGATCAAACTCGCTCCAAATGGAAAACAAACTTCTTTGATCGGCCCTGTTGAGCCAATCAGATTTCAGCAAAAACGAAGATCGGTCCAAGTTGGGAGGGGCCGCTCGTACACCCCCTCCATATTGAAAGAATTGGTTTGGCCCAGTCAGCGTTCGCTGCGACCGGCGCGGTGGCGGATCATAAAGTAAAACAGACACTGAAAAATAAAAACTCTTGACCCCTGGCCGGTTCGGCCTGAAATGGACCGGCTGTTCGGGATTACTCCCGAACACAACAATGGCCAGTCCGTCCCTGCATCTACAGTTTACCCAGCACAACTACTCTATTACATTACAATCACAGTGTCATCCATTCAATATCAATTCAATGTGTTCACTCAAAAGTACAGATACATACCATCTCAAATGAATTAATGCATTTCTAATATTGCTTATTAGAAAACAACGTTAAAATTGCTTCCGCTTGGTCAGTTGTCTACAACATCTGCCAAACAGTATGGGTAGGTCGAGTTACTTGTTTATTTTAAAGAAAATAATATTTTGAAAAATACAACCACTTGGCGACCATATTTGTGTTTTATAGATGTGTTCTTATACGAAAATGTGTTTCGCATTCAAACGATGCATTCAGCAGGGAAATGTTACGCCATACAGTAAAAGGGTTTTACCCACACATCACTGTAGTGGTACAGTCCACAACACCCGGGTTTCCGCGCGAAAAGACGGCCCGCGCGCCCGAATTGCTTATAGCTTCCATTGCCTGAAACAGCGAACGACAGGCAGTCGCGCTGTAGTTACGGACGGCAGGTCTAACCATTGTTTTTAAGGATTTTAAAGCATTTTAATCTCTTTTGTCTTACACGTTTAGCTAGCTGCTCACCATGCCATCCAGGACTTCCCTGTCTTTGCCGGAGGATGTCATGAAACGGTAACGTTGAGGCAATGTTAATAACGTGAACGCGAATGCTAATAATGTCCTCACGATTAGCAAGCATGCAGCTTGTTGTCTTAGTCCAAACGCCACAATAACTGTAAACCCCGTATGACTAGCTGCTCTGACCCTTCTCTTGACTTCATCTGGTTGTCGTGAGCGGGAGACATATTGCACTAGCGGCTGCAGCTAACGTTAGCTTGTTGCCACAACACATACGGCGTTAACGTTAGCCTCCTGTTAACGTCAGTTAGCATCTGTAGCCTGTCAATTGATAGAGCAGCGTGTGGGATTTGGCGCCACTAAGGAAAGTTTTGCTTTCAGTGGTTCTGCTAGCTCGCCGTCACACTGGGTTTATTGCTACAACCGTGGCAGTAAATGTGCTCTACTAGATGATTTGCGCTCTGTCGCACATTACTAACTTACCGTAGCGTTGTTTTGACATGTTCGTTGTTCACATAGGCTGCAGGTGCTGGATGAAGATGGAGTTTCTGACGAGGTAAGTTCTGTGTCCAACGTTCTCAAGATTCTCAACTAACTTAAGAACCTAAGTTAAAGTTGGCTTTTCTCACTAGATGTGGTCTTTTGTTTTTTCTTAAAATGTCATTTCAGGATCATGTGAAAGAGAAGCTCAAGTTGGTGCAGGACTTCCTGCATGTCGACGCTCAGGACCAGCTGACCAGCCTGGAAGAAAAGATGAAAAGTTCAGAGATGTCGATGGTTAGTGATTCTTTAAGATGTCTGAGACATTACTGATCCTGGAATTTTACTGCTCATTACTTCTCCTGTGCTGTGTACTCTTCTCAGGAGGTCTACATCTCTAAAGTGAAGGCCTTGCTGGGAAAAGAGCTTAATCTTGAAAATGGTGCACA